AACTGCTTCAGAAATTCATCTGCGACCTTACTTGAACATGATCTGTTATATTGGTTGTACATCTAGATCCAGAAATTCATCTAAGATAAAACCACTAGTATGTTGTGCTTCATAGCTGGATAATTGAAACTGTTAAGTAACCTTTAAATCAACCTTTCGGTTGGATATAAAACTAATCCTCGGCCTCCAAAAAAACTTGACTTTTGTTTGATAATGGGATGAAACGCCTTTGATTTCATTGTCTTAGTACATGAGGCTCAGATTACATTTTCCGTCAGAATAACAGCAGAGACAACCTATGGCTGCAAGAAAACAAATGCCACGCCAATATAGGTCTTGCCTCAAAGATATGTTTTTTTTATTTTTAGGTAGAGCATAATAAAAACCTCATCACAGCCTCAAAATATCCCAAAATTGAACAATCAACAGCAATGTAATAGTCGGACCAAAACAGAACCAAGATTAATCATCGTTTCATTGGTCGTTGCATTAATCAAGTGTTGCAGGTGATGATATAGTCTTGGAGGGAAGAAAAAAGAAATACCTGAATGTAGATCACCGATGAATTGGAAGCTAATCCGACCAGACGAAGAGAATGGAGGCTATAGCCAGATGGAAGGGCATAAATGGGATAACCTGACACCGCCGTGGCTGCAAACACACCAAAGGCAGGTTCTTTTCCGAGTGTTGCCACGCCAAGATACGGCTAAGTTAACCCCAGTGCCCGATCCATCGGCTCCAGAAGAAATTGAATGCCATAACCGCCCCACCGCATTTATCATCTCCGGCGGCAGCCGCGGCGGGTATGCACCCAAGAACGTTGAAATCGCGGGTATGGGTGAAATGCGCGCGCATCCACACATACATATATACATACACACACAAACACACAAACACGGAGTAATCCGTTGTTTTCAACGAGAGAGGGCTGTTGATTGCAAACTCTTTAGGACATGGGCTCGCAGAAGGGATCAACCACCCAAGAAAGAAACCCCAATCTCATTCTTGAGATCTGCCGCCTCATTCTTTGCACGGCGGTAAGGGTTGGTTTTATACTTTCACTTTTGTATATATAAATTTTAATTTCTTTCCCAAATATACCCGAACTTTCAACATTCTTTCCCCGATGGTTAAATAATCAGTTTCTAAGTCACCTTCAGGTCATTTGGGATCAAATTATAATTTTATAAATTAAAATTTTTTATTTTGACCCCACCATTTCCCTCCTTTTCTCTCTTCCTCTTTCCCCGCCATCCCCCACACACCCATCCATTCTTTCTTCTTCTTTATTTAATTTAAATTTAAATAAATTAAATAAAAAATAAAAAGAAGAAGAAGAAGAAGTACTCCGTATATGATTATACTAATGATGAATGAAGTCCCCACAATCCAGCGGTAGCAACGACTCTTCCATGGCATCACAACAAACTTCTTAACTTGAGTTATTCCTCTCATTCCTTTTGTTATCACTTTTTTGAGGTTTTCAGCCCAATGTGAGCAGCATAACAATCTCCAATCTTCTTGTACTCCTCTCTTGCCTCCCGTGATGCTCTCTCCTGCCTCTCCTGCAACTGAGCCAACGTTTCCCTGCACGATTTCAGCGCTGTTTCGGCCATCAAAGTGCTCGTTGGCTTTCGTCACTCCAAACTCGTCCTGCAGGGCACAGACCCTCTGCTGCATCTCTGAGATCTGGTCCTCAATCGCCCAAAGCCCACTCTGGTACGTTTGGAGTTTGGTACATTAAATTGAAATTATTTAATTTAAATTTAAATAAATTAAATAAAAAATAAAAAGAAGAAGAAGAAGAAGTACTCTGTATATGATTATTTAAATTAAATAAAGAAAAAGAATGAATAGGTGCTTGAGGGGTGGTGGGAAAGAGGAAGAGAGAAAAGGGAGGGAAGAGTGGGGTCAAAATAAAAAAAATTAATTTACAAAATTATAATTTGACCCCAAATGACTTGAAGGTTACCTAGAAACCGCCTATTAGACCACCGGTAAAAGAATGTTGAAAGTTCGTGTACTTTTGTGAAATAAATTAAAGTTTATATACCGAAGTGAAATAATGATAAAAGTTCGTATACCATGGGTGAAATTTACCCTTCATTACTGGTTAATTACTTGGCTAGAAAAATGGGTAAATATTAGAGGTGGCAATCGGATCAACCGGATTGGTTTCGGGTTGGATTTTTTCGGTTCGGATATCTTTCGGTTATATGTTATAATCGGTTCGGATCGGTTAAATTTCGGTTCGGATTTGATTTCGGATCTATACATTTTTCGGTTCGGTTTGGATTCGAGTCGGTTCAGATACGGTTCGGTTATAAATCGGTTCGGATACAATTTGAGTCGGATATATTTCGGTTTCGGGTCTAGTTCGGTTCGGAAATATTTCAGTTTCGGATCAAATATATTTTGGATATATATTATTTTCTAATTAAAATTTAACTATTTGTGTTTCTTTTTATGTTTTATCACATTTATTAATCTATCATCAATTCAATACCTCGTATTATTTTATATTTTTTTTAGTTATATTATCTCTACCCTAAATAATCTTCCCTTTTTGACTTTTTAGTCATATTTTACAAATTTGGACTACAAATTATGAAAACATATATATTTAATTATGATATAAATTTAATATAATTAAATTGATTTTAAAATTTAGTTTTGAAATATCAAATTTTTCTCACATCTACTACTCCGTAACATACTTATGTACATAAATGAAAGGATAAAAGATAAATTCAAATAGTCTTATGTTCCATTTGAATACAATGTGGTAAAAATTGAGTAAAATTGGGTGAAGTTAAGTGAATTTTATTCAATTGAGTGCGAAATTTGTAAATTATTGAGTATATTTGGTTGAAAATAGAGAAAATTAAATTTAATAAAGTCAAATATACTACGTAATTAATTTTACACCTAAATGTAATGGTGTAGATCAAATTTGAAAATGATAACAGCAAAGGCTGCTGCTAGAGAGTCTTTTGAAAATGCTAACACCAACATCTAATTTTTTTGACTAATATTGAGTGAATTGGTTTGAAACTAATCAAATTAACTTTCAAATCAATAAAATTTATTGTAATGAGATGAAATTAGGATAAAATCTAGTTATTCCATACAATTCATCATATATTCCTTTCGTTCCAAAAAGAATATCACATTTCACTATTTAAAAATTACGAAAATTTTATTTATTTATGCGTTATCATTTATATGTATAACTTATCTTTAATTTCTACATATAACAAATTTAAGACATAAAATTTTGTACTTTTTTCAAGAAGATAATCAATTTTATGAGGAAATGGGCAAGTAATGTTCCGGTTCTATTTTGCCAGGTCTAGTAAATATTAGTAAAATATTGAAAATATATAAAAACAAGAATTACATGTATTTATTTCTAAAATAAAAGTTAAATGCTTTAACATTACAATTATAAATACACATGTATAATACCACATTATTACAGTGTGAACTCTTATTTAGAAATAAAAACATAAAACTCCTATTTTGATACATTCTATATGTTTTAGTCCTATTTAGAATAGTTTATTCTAAATTTAGCAAATCAGGGTTCAAAATGCTTGGGATTGCTTAAATTATTGAAAAAGTAATTATTTTGATCACACAATTTAAAAATAGTTTGAAGTACTTTCTTAACTTTTGTTTTTTTATATAAAATCTAAAGTTTCAAGAATTATTTGGTTGCAAATACTCCAAACTCATTATAGTCAAAATAGAAATTAAAATTACTCTAAGGAGCACTTACACACATCCTAATTAATTGAAGTTTTTTGAAAATTTGGGCCCCACCTCTCTAACTTAATCACTTTTCCCTATTTCTTTTACTTTATGTGTACAAATTGTTTTCCTCATTTAAACTCAATGGAGTGATAGAATTGAATAGTTGAAAATGATTACGACCACGGGTGGATTGAAAGAAAAAAAGATGTAATATTGAATGAGTTTAGAAAAATAGAAAAAAAATAAAATCTTGAGTGAAAGTAAATAAGGGTGTGGGAGTAATTTTGGATGAGGTAAAGAGACATTTAGATGTATTTTTTGCTAGAAAAAAAAGAAAATGAGAATATAATTAGTAGACAAACTCAAAAAGAAATTAAAGAAATTGGAAAGATTATAAATGGATGGAATGAAAAGTGTTTGGTAACATTTTTTGACCAAACTCTTTTTGAGTGGATGGATGGAGTGGGAGTTGGGCAGAGAAGGAATGAATTGACCTCCTTTATTTTACTAAACAAACCGAGTTTGAGTATTATCCGTAAATAATTGGAAACTGTGAACCGAATCACTTATTATTTTCCATCAATTGTTATTTTTACATTTCTTATTGGCTTATTTCTTTATTGTATTGTTACTATTATTCTTATTTTAGTTAGATTAGATTTTTTCTAAAGAGTCATGATGATATTTACACTAAAACCCCTCAATAAGATAGTAGCTACTTGAGTAAAAATAGTCATGTTAGGGTATATCAAAATGAGATACCCCATTTGTACATTAGAGAAACACACACACTTAATCGCTGTGATTACAAACATTAAGTGTATCTGTTTGGCAGTAAAAATGGCGCTATTTTGGTGTACCCCCATATTTACTTTAGTAAAAAATGTCTTTCTAAATGACCATAGTTCTCAGTATTATCTCTGTTACTGAGTATTTGTCTGGGTTTTTTTCGATCAAGCGTTTTCAACCTTTGACTTATACTCCGAGGTAGTTTAATAAAATATTTATTGTATATTAATTAGATAAAATAGTATTTTGAAAATATTTGATATAATAAATATAATAAAACTATTTTTGTATTAATATTTATTATCATTTTTATTTAATTTAAGCTCAAAATTTATCAATTTTAATTAAAAAAAGTTAAAAATGCAGAGACAATAGAATTTATTACAAGAGTACTAGCAAGAGCTTAGTGTACCCCTCATTGTTTACTTATTAAAATGTTTAAAGCTCTTGCTAGGATCAATGGAGGTTTTGTTAGAGGGAGAGAGAACACTAAAAAATCTTTAAAGCGCAAGAATTGCAGAGAAAGGTCAAAGGAGAAGACGATGAACACGGAGGCCTATATTCATCGATCACACGCCATCTTGTCGTGGTTCGTCGCCGTTCATCATCACGAAACATCCGCTTTGATCTCCTCCACTTCCACTTTCTTCTTCGTAAGCCACTATTCATACGGTTCTGAATTTCCATTTCAGCTCATTTTTCATACCGAACTCTGTACGATTTATAGGTGTTGATCGGTTCAGCTTTAGGTTCTTTTGAGATTTTAGGGGCGCAAACCTGCTTGCCTGTAAATATTGATAGCTAATTACCAGCTAAATGCAGTGATGGGCTAATATTGCCTTCATCCCAGAGTAGTTTGACTTTTTTCAAACTGGATGAATCTGAATCTTGATCAACAATTAAATAAAATATAAACTGCATATTGATACAATGAAATACTTTTTTTTTATTTTTTGGAATATAAATCTAATTAAATCACACAAGTGTTTGTATTAATAATTTAATATACAATGTATGTTTTATTTAATTGATGATCAAAAAGTTAAACCAGACGAGTATTGTGGGACAAATGAAGTACAATAATAGTATATTTTGTGTTGATGATTTGCAGATTCTAAGTGCATATTTTGTAGTTCTTCCATTACGTGATGATGGTGCTATATCATTAGGGTTAGGGAATCTACCAGGTTTATTTGTGGGATCACTGCTTCTCACATTGGTTGCTGCCCCACTATCCACACTGATTTTCACAATGCATAATCTTTCAAAAGCCAAGGTATCGAAACAGTGACCTTTTCATCTCTGCATTTGATCTAACGCTAAGGATGCCTCAAATTTATTGAACTTTAGGGGTATGTTGAATAAGGATAAGTGGGCTGAAATGACTGATGTTATTGAATTTTCAGAAATGAAAAGTGTTTGGTAACATTTTTTTTGTATCATCAGCCTTATCGACTGAAATTTTCACACCAAAGCTCTAATCTATTTCACTTAAGTGGATGAATCAGCTAAAAGTGGAAAAAATGTATTGCAGAAGTTACTTTTTTCTTGATAAAATGACTGAAATGAATGAGGATGAAACTTTGTCCGTCATTAGTAGATACTCGTATTACTTTATTAAATTAATTGCAAAACTTATTTTAAATAAATATTAGATAGTTCAGCAGATTGCTACCTGAGCCACAATTTCAGTAGACTCAGCTTCTTCAGCCATTTAGGCCTTACCAAATACACAAATTTCTCATGCCGTTGATACAAATGCCAAATATGGCTACCAAACAGAGCCTATAACTGATTTCCCACTTAACTTGCCATATATAATAACAAGAGTCTTCCCTATTTTTTTTAAAAAAAATCTAATTGTAATCGGTCCTCTTTCAATTTCCAGGCACTGGCAATGATACACAGGTTTTTTGCCATCTCTCTTTTAATATTCTTTGCTTTTTGGCTCTCATCTACTCCTGGAAGCTCTTTTAGTCTCAAGGTGAGAAAGAATGAAAACTAAAAGCAACTTTAATGATGAAGTTTTAAAGAATATAATGAATGATGTGGCATTTAGGGGTTTTTTACCATGTCCAAAATAAAAGAGGAACTGAAGATCAAAGTTAACCAAACCGGTGCGTCCTCAGCTGGGTGGGGCAACCATGGATGGTTTTACATCTCTGTGAGAATCAGCTTCTTCCTATGGGTAATATGCATTTTTATTTCTAACTTCCCCATTTTATTATCCATGTTTGGGATGGCATATTTTCAAGGGGAAAACGCCTATTATGCTAAGAAAGTACGTTTACTTCAAAAAGGTAGCATTTGGAAAGAAAAAATAATTTTAATACTAAAGAAACTGTGTGCATACACAGAAAAACGCTAGATAAATAAATTGGAGCTGTTTGAAAAAAAGAAGAAAAAAACATTTTCAGTTTTAGTACTTGAATGAGAAAGCACTTATTAATATGTATTCATTTATCAACCATATGTAGGGTCGAGTAATACGTATCTTTTCTCTTCAAGTGAACAAAAAACTAGAAGACTCGTTCTTTTCCTTGAACAGAGATACATAAGATTTGACAATACTTATCTTTCTATTTGTTTCGTCTCATGGAGTCAACTATTCGTTCGGGTAGGTATGCGTTAGTCAAGCTATGTTAGTAGTGAATCCAATATAGTGTAGCACTGTAGCAGGGTAAGGAAAAACATTTATGGTACTAGTCATCCCATTCATTCTCTAGTTTTTTTCTTGTGTGGGCATTAGAGACATTCTTCAAAGGATGTTGTTGCATATTATTCAATGGTACCTTTTATAGGTTGCTCTGCTCAATCTAATTACGATCTCCTCAACTTGGGCTAGAGTGATTGATGTGATGGATAGCGAGGTTAGAATGCTTCTATTTAACATACATTCATTTCCTTATTTCTCCACCTTAAATTTAATCTAAATGTGTACTCCGACTTTGGTGCTATGCATAAATTACATAAAGATATGTTGAGATGGTAAGCCTCACTTCTTTAGGATCCTTTTGAGGTGAATTAATGTGACTGTGATTTGTGGATGCCTACTCACTTGATGGTTTGTGAAAATCATTCTGGCATCTGTTTGATCTCATTTGTTCACCCCTTCAGTTGTCCAACCTGGTTTGGACTGCCCGACTGTCACATGCGGTTGAGTTTAGTATCGACATGTGAGATAATCCTAATGATCATTTTGAGGTGGTGATACCCAATTTTACAAGACGTGTTTAAGCATAAACTTGATGATCTTCATTTTCAGTCAGGTTCAAGATTGTTTGGGTTCATAGGCGCTGGAGCCACACTTGGCCAGCTCTTTGGTTCGTTGTTCGCCACAGGGATGGCTTGGTTAGGACCATGTATGGATGCATTAGCTGTCTTTTTTTTAAGCCGACTGTTCTTTTGAAACAAATGCCATTTGAGGGCCATACGGTGTTCCGTTCGATCCCAAAGAAATTCCTACCCGCCACCTCAGCCCCACAAACCCCTTAGCCTCTCCATTTCACCTGTATACTGCATATCAAGTGGTCTAGGAGTGTGGGGGGGGGTGCAGGATTAGGATGTAGGAACCAGTTTGGGGTCGAACCGAGTACTATTGGGCCCTCAAATGCAGTGTCATATTATGACACCAGCCTTTGGTGTCAAAAGAACCTAGCTCTGTTTTTAATGTACTTAAGTTTCTACTTTGTTGGGTTTCTCTGGTTTTTTTAAGGCTGTACCTCTCTCTATATTTTTCTTGAAGATTTGCTTCTTGTTGCTGCCCTTCTCATGGAACTTGCTTCACAGACATCTAAGGGAATAAATAAAGACATCTCCCATCTCCAAGAAGACCAGTCTTCAATCAGGTTGCAATCTACATCCACATCACTTTTTAAAGTTTTCTTCCTACCTTCTTTTCTCAAATCTTCATCACATGGAAGTCTATGCTCACCAGTTCATGTTGAGATTTACGCCCCCCCCCCCCCCCCCCCCCC